GGGGCTGTCCCCGCTGGGGCCCCGGTGCCCGCCTTGGGCCCCGCCTTCGGCTGGGGCCCAGCCCCCGCCTTGGGCCTGTCATCCCCCTGCGCCGTGGGCCGGGGATCGCCCATTTCCTCGCTCCCTCCCGCTTTGGGCGGTCGCTTCGTGAGGTGGGCGTTCAGCTGCCCATTGAGAAGGCGCGTGAGTGCGGCCTTGCGCCGGGGCACGACCACCTGCTGGTAGTGGGCGTTCGGGTCCCCGAGGTCGAACGTTCGGGGCAAATCGTAGCCGTTCTCCAGCATGAGTAGGATATACTTGATGTCCTCCCTCCTCGGGTTCTCGGTGTCGAGCTCTCGACAGAGTCGGCGCCTCAGCTCCCGCAATTCCTCGACCCAGGTGCTTCGGAGCTCTTCCCACAGATCCTTGACCCAATGGTCTGGGAACTCCGATGGGCCCCTCTCGAAGGCCGCCTCCAAGAACCCCAACGACCGCCGACGCTCCGCCCCGTGTGCGACCCCTATGATGGACTCGAACATCTGGATCTCGCACCGGGCCCTCGTGAACCAGGTCGCCATGTGGGTGGCGGGCCGTTGGCGGGGCTCCAGCTTGTCGTCCACAGGAAGCCGATAGCCATCGAAGTCCTCGTCACGCGCGGGGACGCAGTCGTCCACCGCCAGGTCGTGAGGGCCCGTCCCGAAGGCGAGCGCCGCGTAGCCGTGTGCCACACGGTTAGTAACCAGGCAGGGAAACCCGATCGTCTTGAGCGTGCTCTTGGAGTGCGCGCACATGCGCTTGAGAGAGTCGAACAAGTCCTTCCCCGTGATCCCCTCGCAGGCCTCAACCACGAAGGTGTTGCATCCCCGGGCTATGTAAAGATCGAGTTCCTCGTCCCGACCGATCCCTGCCCTGGTGCCCCGGGCCTTCTTGTCGCCCTCGGTGGCCCGCGCCTGCCGCTCGGCGGCGAGGACGTGGCGTTCAGTGAGGCGGTTCTGGCGATCCAGGCGCTCGATAATCTGGACTTCGGCCTCGACTGTAAGCCCGCCCAGGGCGCCCGCCGCCCCGGCGTCGTCTGGACCCCCAGCTCGCTCCCCACCCAGACCGCCCCCGTGGGGCGTCTGGCCAGTGAGGTGGCCAAGGACCGAGGCCCCGTCGAGGAGCGGATTGGCCCCACGGGCGGCCCCCCCGCGTCCATCGCGTGCCAGCAGGTCCCGATCACCCAGCAAGCCCCGTCGTGGGCCCGTGGGTTTGATGGGGGGCATGGCACCGAAGAGCTCGCGTCGGGGTCCCTGCTTCGGGCTGGGATCCCGTCCCCGCGCCGAGCGACTCCGCGACCCCTCACGTGAGAGGCTCCCCTGCAGGGGAACCTTGTCGGCGGCCGCAGCACGCTCCCGCGCGCGCGCTTCCAGCTGCGCATCCTCCAATTCCGCGAGGGCGCGCTCTAGGTCGGACCCCAGTGGGCCCGCCGCTGCCACCTGTGCGACCCTCCGCCGCAGCTGCCGCTCCGCCTGATCAAGCGGAACCCCGAGCAGGTCCGCGGCCACACCTAATGCACTGAGAGCCGCCGCTTGGCCCCCCCGTCCTTTGAGATCCTCGGCTCGCAAGGAGTCCATGAACATTTCGAGCGGGTCGGGCTCCTCGGCGTCCTCGCTCACGCCGGCGGCGGCCGCCGCTAAGCGCGACAGTGCCGCCACGGGGGCGGGACGGGGCAAGCCCTCCATCCCGGGCGCGGGCGGCGCCCCCTGCGCGCCACCCCGCCGATGGTGGCCGTGTGTGCGTACAGGGTCGTGCTGCAGCTGCTGGCGCTCCGTGTTCGTCAGGTAGCGCCGCCTCCAGCCGCTCGCGCTTTCCACGTCCACACCGTCCCACTGCTCCTGGCGTAACATCGCCAGCAGATCCTGCGGGATGTGGTGGGCGATGACACGCAACCCCACTTCCCGAGCCCCGTGGGGGACCTCGTACAGCAGCCGATTGATCCAATCTATCGGGTAGCGCCCGTCCTCCAGCGGGGGGGGGTGCCGTGCGACCTCGCTGGCTGGGACCTCCACCCTGACGCCCTCGAGGCTAGTCCCGATGATAAGTCTGGCGTCCCCGCCAGTGCCCCGTACGTCGAGCCCCTCGCATTCCCCCAATAGAATAAACCCAGGACTCGCCGGGGGCGCGCCGCACGCCTCCTCGGCTCCCCGAGGGTCGCCCGGGAGTATCGGGCAGACCTTCACGAGTAGGGGCTCCTGAAGCCACCCGTGGTGGGCGATCCGATCGCCCGGGGCCCCGCGGTCGGCAGACCGTGAGCGTCCGCTGGCCCTTGCTTCCGCGGAGCGTGTGTGACGCGGCTGCGGCCCCGAGGTTAGGGCCTGCGCCCCCGTGGGCTCCACATCGACAGATGGGGCCACGGCGGGCGGTGGCGGTGCCGCGGGGGGAGGTAGAGGCGGGGGGTAGACCGGCCCGGGCGCTATGCCAACCCCATCGGCAGCGTGCGCGGTCCAATCGCGCGCCCTGGCGGGGCTTGGAGCCCGCGCCCGCATGCGGCGGCGCAGGCCCCCGAGGATCCCAGGTTGGACCGTCGCTTCGACGCGCACGGTGTGACCCTCGTCCCGTCGGAGATGTTCCCCGCACATCGGGGCCCCCCGCAGCTACCCTTCGCCATGCGGAGACAAGTGGGGAGGCTGCACTTGCGGCCGATCAGGGTAGACCGATACTTCTGCGCATGGTGGGCGCAGAGGTGCACCTGTGCATTGAGACAATGCCCAGGCCGAGGAACGTCCGACACCTCCGCGTCCTCCTGTAGCAGGACAGTGGCCTCCTGCATCCCTCGGTCGCCGCACCCCTCCGGCTGGAGGGGGCGTGCGCCTCCCGCGAGCTGCACCCCAACTTGTGCGGCTTGGCAGGGGCGCTCCTCCGCCTCCACCTCGCTCTCCGAGTCGATGTCCAGGCGGCGATAGCCCGTGGCGTCGGTGATGTAGCGGGGCTCCGGCCGGCCCCGGCACAGCCATCCGAGTACCGACCAAGGTGAGCAAAGCAGCCACTTGACGACCCCGAATACCTTCCGGAGTCCCACGCCGACTGCTCGGCAGGCCGTGGCCCTTCCGTGCTCAGCCAAGTCCACGATCTGTGTGTGGTCAATGGCCGCGTACTGGTCGACGTGCATGGGATGCGCCACTGGACAGGAGGCGCACTCGACAGTACGACATAGATGCGCGTTCCCTGTCTCCTCGAGGTTCAGCCGCCACTTGCGACTGGTGCACCCCAGGACCTGCCCGAGCTTGATGTTGAGCCCGTGGCGGTCCAATCGGTACCGGTCCGCGAAGTTGCAGCTGATGCGGGCCACCTGCCCGTGCTTACGCAGCAGCACGTGGTTGCACGCCCGAGTGGTCCCTCGGCCGCGGACCCCCTTTGTGTAGAACTCTGTCTCCACCACGCCGCCCAAGCCCGGCCCGCGCCAGCGCACCAGCAAGGGGGTCGGAGGGGGTGGGGAAGATGGGCGCCGGGCCCATCCCCTCCGCGTCGCTGGCAGCACCGGGTAATCTGGTACCACGCCCAGCGGAGTCCCCCGGCAGCCCACAGCATAGGCTGGGCTGCGGTGTTGACGATGAAGGCCAGGGCACCCAACACGAACGTGAAGATGCCTAGGGCAAAGCATAAGACCGCGGTCTCCCACCAATACCCAAGCATCTTGACGCCCAGGCGGTCGACGGCGGATCCAAACCAGCCGCCACTCGTGCGGATCGTGCCCGGATGGTCGGGGGAGCTTACCCACGCTCCATAGCCCACGACCTCGAAGACCCAGGCTGCGAAGCCCCAACCGGGACTCGGCCCTGCCTCCGGGGGCGGTGTAGGTGGCGGCGGCGGCGGTGGGGGTTCGCTCCGGCCAGCCCACCAATGGGGCAGGTGCGGGACCCAACCACTCCACCCCCAATACCCGTCCGGCCCACGCGGCAGGTCAGGCTTACCATCGCCCGTCCGGTTTCCCGGGGCGGACGGCTGCCCAGGCGCGCCCGTGGGCTCGTTGTTACCTCCGTATGCCGGCGTAGCTGGGCTGCCTGTGGGCTCGCCCTCGCCTACGCGCCCGATGCCCGCGGTCGTGGTCGTTGTAGTCGACCCTGACCGCGGCGGCGGTGGGGCGCCCGGCGCCCCCGGGGGCTTGGCCTGCGGCCCTCGCCCCTTTCCCCCTGCAGGCGCGGGCTTGGCGGGCGGTCCTCGCCCCTTGCCTCGCCCCCCACCGCCTGCCGGCGGCGCTGTCGGCCCGGGCAGGGCTGGCGGCGTCGGCGCTGGGCCCTCATGTCCCCCGCGCCCGAATGGCAGCCAGCCAAGTGCCCCTTGGACCGTAAGAGCGCCGCCCGTAACCAAGATCATCAGGTGCGCCCCCAGGAAGCCCACAGCCATGCACCACAGGCGCGCTACCTAGTCCGCGGACTAGCACGGCTGTGGTTATGGCCGCCCCGCGGCCCCCTGGAACACCCGCGCGTCGGCCAGAGCCGAACGCTACGGACCCAAAATTGCTACCTGAGCCCACACCCCCTCCCACTTAACCTGCAGTCTACAACCAATCAGACTATACAAGATTCGCATGATGCGCACAGCGCCAGGAAGCTGCAAAAGCCATGACGCGCTGGGATTCTCAACCATAACAGGGATATTGAAACTCCGAGCATGCTGAAACAGAGAGAAAATGAATGTGGCTAGCAGGCTTCCGTGCACAACTTTGATCTCATTATTAATGGACAGGGACGGCAGGCCGAACGGGAACTGTCTGTTGCGTAAAGGCGGGGGGCCGTTGGGCCCATTGCGAGCACGGCTCGGAAAATGGCAAAACGTGGCGATCCAAACTGCGACGATCAGGCGGCTTCGAAGCCGGCCGCGGACCACCTGTCTCACTCGTTTGAACAGTAAGTATCCGCAGGCACCGGGGCTGATGTTCAGCTCGAAGGCCGCATGCTGGCCATTGAAGCACATTCGCCATGACGATGACATCCGCCAAGAGCCGCTGGACACGTCGAGGAACACGCCCGAGCCGGAACGAGCTACCCACGCCGCAAGGTCTCGAGCAGGGTGTCGCCAATCCTGCGGTAGGCCTGCTCGGCTTGCAGCTGAGGGGTGCGCGGCAGCCGATGAAGCTGCCCCTGCGCGCGCCCGCCCGTGGCGCACAGCCGCAGTGCAGCGTCTGTCGCCCAGCGGCCTCGCTTCTGGATGTCCTTCAGCGGGGGGGCGGCTGCGTGCAGCTCGTGGCTGGCGCCGCCGCGCCTGAGCTGGCGCAGTGTCAGGCTGCCCAGGCTGCCGAGGCCCATGCGCACGGTGGCGGCCTCGGAGTGGTAGTTCCACTGGGCGTACGTCGCTGAAAATAGCCGATGCCCCGCAGGCGTTCGACGGCGCAGCTCGGCCATTAGGTTGGCCACCCACGGAAAACAAAGCGAATCCACTCGCAAGCTCTCGTCTAACACCCCTGTCTTGGATGGTGTCTGGCGCTCGAAGAGATGGCGCACCATGCGCAAGTGGTGGGTGCTGGTGGCGCTCGTGAGCCCGTGCGGGATCAGCTGCAACTGCGCCAGTCGAGGGCCTCGCGCGGCCGCAAGTACAACGTGAACGCCAGGGCTGTGAGCGCCGCGTCGACCGCGAGGCCCTGCCGGCTCAGCTCCTCCACGAACAGGCAACCCACAAGCCAGGGGAGCGGCAGCCGCGACCGCGGCGGCGCGAAGCGAGACCACTCCTTTGCAGAGCGGGCTGCACGTGGGAGCCGTCCCTGGCGGGTCGGCAGCTCCGGGCGGCTGAAGGCAGGCGCCGCCACGCGCTTCCAGGCGTCGCTGCTCTCCCCGCCGTCCAAGAACTCCTCGTGGGAAAACTGCACCAGCGCCTGGCCCACCTCGGGGGGTGTCGCCAGGCTCGCGACCCGCTGCTGCGCCCGCCGTGAAAATGCTAGCTGCCGCCTCTCGCAGTCCGCCCGCGTCGGCTCTGACACCGAGCCCACCTCCAGGAAGGTCAAGCCCTTGCGGGGGGCCGATGCTGGCAGCGCAGGGTAGCGGGCCGCCCGCTCGTGCCGCCTCGCCCGCCGCCGATCGCTCTCTGGCCCGACCGAAGTCGAGGTCGGCCTCGCGACGGCCGCAGCGGGGCGCGCGCGGGCCTTGGGCGCCGGCGGCCCTCTCGCCGCGAAGCCCGTCGCCGACAGCGCCAGCGGCGCCGACATCAGAACCGGCAGCCAGTCGATTTGTAGTAGCCTCGGGGATATCGCCAGCCCCATCTCGCGAGGCAGGGTCAGCACTGTCGTAGTCCGAGGGGGGCCGCCGGCACGCGGCGCCGCTGCCAGAGGCTAAGAGCAGGGCGCAGACCTGGCGGCAATCCCTCAACAGCGGAGGGGAAGACGACCTACCCTTGAGCAAGGCTAGCACCGGAACCATCGAGCAATTTAGAATGATGTGCGTCGTGTTGAAGTGCCGGAGCGCCCTGAGACAGTGCTTTACACATAGTGCAAGAGCCCCCCCCTCCAACGCCGCCTGCGCCCCCCCCTGCTCCGAGGTGTAAATGAAAACGCGCTGCCAACCCTCGGCCCGCGCGTCCTCCGAGACCTCCTCGAACACCACCTCCTCCTTCCAGTCGTGCTCGTCCTCGGCCCTGATGGGGGTCACCTGCTCCATGCGCGCGGCGACCGACGGACTAGGCGATGGCCCAGTAAGGCATCGGGGCGGCGACGGTTTGGTGCTGTACTGCTAGGCTTGCCTGTTCTCGTAACGTAGGGCTTGACTGCGAGGTGCAATCTGCTGCTCCCCACTCCTGCTGAACCTCCAGCGCTCGTTGATGACAGACAGACGATGGGCCTGAGAGGGAGAGAGCAGCTTCTCTGTCGCGCCGGCGCCCTGCCAGAGGCGTCCACGCAAGAGGCGATAGGTGGCAGCGGTCGGCCCGCGTCTCGACAGCAAAGGGGCAGCAGCGCGCGGCGCCACCTGAGCACCCCCCACCTCGGGCGGCAGGCGCCGCCGCACACGGGCGCCCTCGCCCACGAATCTGTAGACCGCGCCCGGGCAGCTCAGCAACTCGTGACGGATCAGGGCCCGCGAGGCGAAGTGGGACACCACCTTCATCATAGTGCCTGCACCAGCCGCAATCCATGATCTCTCCGATGCCCAGCCGCAGTCGCCATCGCAGCCGAACGCTGAGGCTGCTCGTGGGCTTGTCAGCGCCGAAGTGCCAGCCTAGCGCGTCGCCCCCCATCGAGACCTCCACAAAGTGCGCAGGGAGATATGACGCCGTCATCTCCTCCTGCGCCCGCGCGGCAGCTCCTCGAACCTCCTCCAGGCGGTGCGAGAGGGCGATGGAGTTGTCGACGCGCACGGCGTGCGCCAGGCCCTCCAACAGCGAGGGTGCAGGGCGGCGGTCCACCAGGCGTCGGCCAAAATGGCCAGGGATGGCACGAGCGGTGGCCGCCTCGTTGAGGCTCTGGCAGATCCACAGGCCGATGCTCCAGCCCATTGGAGAGAACCGGGAGCGCGGCACCACCAGGGCAGACGCCTTGACCACCGCCCCGTCGGTCAGGCGACCCAGCCCCACGTCGCCAGCGCGGAGGCGAGAAAGACCAAAGTAGTGCCTGAGCCAAGGCGGCGCCCCGAGCGAGTAGAAAGCGTCCGAGATGTCGACGCCGCCGAGGGCGATGGACTGGTCGTCGCCCACCGAGATCTGCGCGAAAGCCGCGCCAGTCGCCAGCTCCACGGGGTCCGCCGCGTTGAAGCGCGAGGAGGCGTGGCGGCCGTCTCGAATCCTGCGAAGAGACCCGTTCTTCTTTTTCACGAAGAATTAGCGGGCCGAACACTCGGCCGAGCCGCGGAAGTCCACGAGCCCAGCCGCCATCAGCTTCTGGGCGACCTCCGCGTAGAGGCGCGGGCTGCGGAGGGCAGGGCCCGGGCGAAGCCGCTGACGCGTTCCAACCCCAGCTGTCGGGGCAGACGCAACTCATGAAGCCGACGAACTATGCCCAGGCCCACATCCTTGTCGATGACCTCCAGCGCCGTCGGGTGACTGCCCGCCCGGGGCAAGGTGATGGAGTCGACATGGTCGAAGCTGACCAGTGCAACCATCGTGGCGTCACCCTCGCATGATTGCGAGATCCGAAGCTCCTCAAGGGCCCCAGGGCCGCCAAAGCCATCGGGGGAGGGGCCAAACCGCAGCGCAGCTCGCGCGGGCTCCGAGAAGACCTGAGCGTGGCCAGCTGAAGGCATCGAAGAGCCAGCGGTCGCCTGACCGCGGGCCGCTAGCGGGCAGCCCCGCATCTCGTTCAGCGCGTCGGTCATCTCGCTGACCATGCCGTCGGGGTGGAAGCGCTTCTCGAGACGTCTCCGAACCGACCGTGATAGCGGAAGAGAAGGACGTGCATGAAGAGACCCAGCAGCATGAGGGGGAAGAGGAAAGAGATCGCGTTGGCGATGACAGCTGCTGGTGGCGCTGCACCCGCGAGGCCCACGGGCGCCCCCCCCCCTCGGCCTCGCGGGCGCTCGGGCGAGGGGGTCCCGAGCGCCGCTCGCGTCGCTCAAGATGTAAGAGCGCGACGCCCTTCACGGGCCTCCCTGATCTGCTCCGGAACCCTGCGTCGCGAACCACTTGTCTGGAGACGTGCTCCAGGAGCCGCGGGCAGATCATGGAGCGGTCGTCCTCTTTGGCCGCCCCAGTGAACAGCGCCGCCTCGTCCACGATGCCAAAGCGGTGGGGCCCTCCTCCACGGCCTCGGCCGCCCTTCTCCTTGCCGTCGCCCTCGGCCGTGCCGCCGCCTGCCTCCTCGGCCTGCAGCGCATCGCGCTCCGTGGAGTAGATGCACTCGTGCAGCTGCGCCTGCCGCGTCGTCAGCTCGACCCCGACGAGGTCGGGAGGGTCGAGCTGGCCACGGCAACCGAGGTGCTCGATCATCTTCATGATGCCCCCGCAGTGGCTCACCCCGCAGTCGTCCTTCGTGAGGTGGAAGAAGGCCACGCAGGCGGAGATATGCTCGACGTGGCCCAGTCGCTTCCTGTCGATAATCTGGGCACACCAAAGCACCGCCCTAGGCCCGTCTAGCAGCCACCCAGGGATGGCGTTCTCCACCATCGGCGGCACCACCTCGCGCAAGGCCAGGCGGACGTGGTGGCCGTCGGCTCGCGGCGCGACTCCCAGCAGCCTGATGTGCGCTCCGCTCTCGGCGCACTTGTGCGCCGCGTGGTCCGTGAAAATCCGACGGATCGCCACCCAGCCAACACCCTGCTGCGACAGCGCGATGTCACCCTCGATCTTCTCCGACCCGTTAAAATTCACCACGTCCCCACGGCAGCCAGCGCTGCTCGTCCCCACCAATGCCCACGCAGGTCCAGGAGTGGCAGGCGCCGCAGGCACCGTGGGCGGTGCTCCAAAGCCAGGCGCGCCCAGCGCGTGGCGGGGTCATTGGCAGGGCCGCGGCAGGCGGCGGGGCGCCCGCCGCCACAGGGACCATCACGCCAGCCAGGGCAGCAGCGGCGGCACCACCGCCCGCCCCCACAGGGGCAGTGGCAGCAGCGGGCCCTCCAGGCGCGGCAGCACCAGCGTTCGCGAAGTCGAACCTCGCGCAGGCGCCACCCACAGGGAGGATCAGCGGCCGACCACCAGCCCGTTCCCTAGCAAAGTACAGCCCCTGGGCCACCTCCTCGAGCGCGTCGCCGATGGCAGTGGCCTCGGCAACGTTCGGCTCCCGGCGGAACCGATGCAGCAGGTCAGGGCCCACGCCCTGCAGCGCCTGCCGCGAAGACGGGAACACCACTGTGACGATGTCGGGCGACCCAGCAGCGTAGCTTTCCTGATAAACGTCGCGGTCTGGAATCGAGATCAGCAGGTCCAGCGGGTCACTATTCCCCACCGGAGGACTCGCCAACCTGCCCCAGACCCTCCACTGATGCCACAATCGTTCGCCGCGATATAGCACCCACGCCCAGCGCTGCACGCCGGCGGGCGGGGGGCTGGCCATCCCCACGGCTCAGCAGGCGTCGACCGATGTGCCGCAAGGCCCGCCCGGCGCCCTGGCCCAGCGGCCCGCCCGGCGCCCTGGCCCAGCTGCACGGCCACCACCGCCACGTGGACGAGCGGCAACACCAGCCAGCCGAGGTCCCACCTGGCTGCCTGCACTGGAGGCGGCGGCGGCTCCGGCGCCTCAGCGGAGGGCTCCGTAGGAGCCGGGGGAGGCGCTGCAGGCGCCAACGCCAGGCACGTCAGAGGCTGCTCCGACGCCCGGCACTGCACGGCCCCGCACGTGAGGTTGGGGCACACCGCCGCTGGCGGGCACCGAGGGGCAAGCACGGGCCGCAGGGCAGGGCGGCGCCCGCGAGATCCAGGCCGCCAGCAGGTTGGACGCCGCGCCCACGAGCACCAGGCTCTGCCCATCATCCACGATGCCTGAACCGACGCACCAGCCTCGCTGGTGAAAAGGCTTGAGCATGAATGCCCACGGCCCCCTCCGATCCCTGCAGCAACAAAGAAACTATGGCACGCCATGCTAACAGAGTAGGCCCGCGAGACTGAGCCCGGGCATGCCGCCCTAATTTTTGTTGAACTCACTGTAAGCTCAACTTCTTCGTACTGCTCGCGGCAAGGGTGGGGCGGGGTGGAAGGAAAGAACATGGGGGAAACGGAAGGTGGACGAGGTCACGGTACTCATGCGTCATGGCGTACGGCCCCTCTCCCGTGCTGAGCACGCCGCTTTCCAGATGCTCGTCTGGGAGGACGAACGTCGTATTGACGTCAGAAGCTCCGTGGGAGGTCATGTGGGGCTCCACCCCGAGCTCCTGAAGAGGGTGGTTCGGAAAAGGTCGTCGGCTTGTCGACCACACTGGAGAGCTGCATCCCCAGCGTCACCCCTTCCGAACCCTGCCCCCTCCACCATCTTGACCTTCAACATGCTCCCTCTTCTTCATCTGCCTAGTCACCTAGTCACGCCTTCTTCTCCCTCCTCCGTCCCCCCATTCGCGATCTGCCATGCGTAGCTGACTGTGGCAGACCAATCAGAAAGCCCTCCCCGCGGCTGCTCCTCCTCCTCCTCCTCCTCCTCCTCCGCACTGAACTCCACGACTTCTCTCTGGCCCCTCACTCCCGCGCGCCCCTCCTTCCAAGTCCTCCTATCTCCCCCCTCCCCCCATCCCTGTCCCTCGTCCGTCTTCCTCCATCCTACCCGCGCCACCCCCCTCTCTGCCCTTGTCTCCTCCACGCTTGTTTGAATGCCCTGGGCGCGCAGCGGAGGGCATGCAGCGGAGAAAAGGCGAAAGAGGAAGCTGCGGAGGTCCGCCCTCCCTGGGGCTCGCACGGACGTCCCCCCCCCCCCCTGCCCGTGCCTCCTTCTGGCCCCACCCCCCTGCTCGTGCTGCAGGTCCTGCTGCTGCCGCTGCTCACACTCCTCCTGTCGCTTCTCCTGCCGTTGCTCCTCCTGCGACCGCCCGTTCGCTCCTGCTGCCGCGGCTGCTCCATCTCCACCCGCCTCCTGCTCGTGCTCCGCCTGATCCTGGTCCTTCTGCTGCGGCTCCTCCTTCCCACACACCCTTTTTGTGGGCCGTTCCCGAAAATGGCTACAAGAGGCCCTGGTAGGGCCTCGCGATCGCTTAAGATGCCTCCGAAGAGCGTGACTGCATGCTGCCACACTTTCCTGATGGGGGCAACTCGCCGGATGATTGTTTCAAAGGGACCACCGAAAATGCGCGACACAACAACAATTGGCGCTTTCTTGCCACTTCCCTGCCACTTGCCTGCGCGCTGCGGAGGTAACCGAAGTGACCGGTACGTGGTGTATGTCTCTGTGTCGGTGGCCGTCCTATGTTAGTCGAGTCTCCGGATGTCTGGCGGTCCTCGTCCTCGCGCTCCTGGCAATCCACTCTTCAAGAGGGCCCAAAATCCTCGAAGCACTCGAAGCATCCCGAGAGCACCCTCGCCGCCCGCACCTTCGCCCGCAGCAGCATCACCATCGAGAGCCCCTCGACCACCTCGAGTGCGGGGGGGGGGGGGCGAGGGGAGGCAGGTACTTTTTCGACAAGGGGGCCAGCGATCGTCCTGAAGCTGCTTGCCCCGCTCCCGGCGGGAGGTGCACCGAGGCCATCTCCGCCACTGCCAGGGAGAGGGCTTTCCAGCTTTCCACCCGATGGGAAAAGGACTCGACAGCGATCGACCGACGACATGATCGACCTCGCAGACCTGAGCGGGAGGGCGCAGGCAGGGCGGAGCCGCTCCAGAAGAGGGGCTGAGGCACGGCCGTGGGGCGAGGACGAAGGACCATGATTGGTTCCGGCGACAACGTGCGTGAAGAGCGGCCTCAGAGAAGGTCCGCGCACGTGTGATCATGCCGGGCGTGCCCGGAGACGTGCACTGGCCATATTCATTTCGCGAGCTATGCGAAGAGCGGGACCGAGCAGGCGAGGGGTCGCGGTCCCGGGGCCCGAAACCAGCCTCCGACAGTCGGCGGATTTCTGGGCCTGCCGCCATGCTCGGCGGCTCCTCGTCGCAGACTGGCAGCCGGATCTTGCACAGGTGCCAGCCCTGGCCATGTGCATCCTACCCCCCTCGAAGGAAGGAGTTGTTACGAGAGGGAGCCGGGTTCGGAGAGCGAAGGCCCAGAGGGGGGGCACAAAGGTCGAGGTATCGGACGTCTTTGCCATGTTCGGGTCGGCAGGCCCGCGGGTGCCTCCAGGGAGGGACCTCTGGCGGCAGCCTGGGGACCTCTGACGAAATTGGCCAGGGATGACATCAGCATAAACTTCAAAGGTCCGCAGGGCTTTCTTGGATCGGCGCTGGACCCCCTCCCTGGCGCGATGGGCGCGCCAGGGGCGGCGCCGGAGGCGCCGCCAAGGGGCTCCAGCGCTGATCCGAGACATCTGTACGGACCTCCAGACACTTATGTTTATTTCACACCCTGCTGCCGCCGGACACTTATGCTTATTTCACACCCTGCTGCCGCGACGACGACCGCGCGAACTGCTCAGCCTCGAAGTGCGGGCAAGACTTATATCCACATCTGGTCCGTCTTAGACTCTGTCAGAAGGGGCGCCACAAGGCCGAAAGCCGTGCGAACGACAAGGCCGATTTTGTGTCCGCTTCCGCTTAGCCATTTTGTTCATTATTTTTTTTTCTTCCTGGTTCCTGGTTCCGTCGCCGTTGTTTTTCTGGTCCGTCGCCAATGCTGCTGGTTCAATGCCAGAGCCGTTCATTTGCCGTTCCAGGTTGCCGACATTTTACGTTTTGCATGTTGAAGAGACACTTCTTCGGAAACGATGAAAAACGGCCCTGCCGCTTCCAGGGCCTATGAGAACCGATTCTCAGCAGGGCCAAGGTCCGCATCCACATCTAATGCGCCTCGGGTTTCTGGGGAAGGGGGCCAGGAACTCATAGCTGCAGTGGATATGGACACAACTCGTGCCCGCATGCAAGGATCTGTGTTGCTGGGGCCCCGAAGAAGCTGCAGGCCCAGCCTCTGAAGCGAACCTCGCGCCGCGTACTGCACTCTGCAAGCCACTGGGGCCTGAGACGAAACATATGAACATAATGACGAAGCGGCACGCCAACTCGATTAATCCGGGCGCGCCGAAACAGGCCGAGGGAAGAAACATACAAGTGGAAAACACGAGCGAGCGCCGCTCGACGAGAAAGAAAGAGATGAAACGCAAGCGAATCACCGAGGATAAAACGCGAAACGAACTATCGAATACCAAGCCAGAAGACGGCGTCGTCAGACGCGAGGAGCAGACGGGGATGTTCTCTTCACTCCTCAAAAAGGGGGTCTTTGCCCTGCTCGAGGGCCTCAGGGAACGTAGCGTCCCTGCTGGATGCAATGCCCTGGCACGGCCCCAAAAGCCGAGATCGAGGGGCCGACGGCTGGGCCTGGCGCCACAGCGACGGCAGAATGCAAACTTAGCCCCAGACAGGACGACGTTGGGCCCTCGAGCGCAACTGGGTCCATCCTATGGGGCCTTGAACGGGGATGGGGGCAGTCGGGGGGGAGAGCATCGCGGGCGACCCAGGGCCCGCGAGGCACCGGGCCTCCGGAGGCCCGGGCGCGCTTGCTGGGCAGAGGCCCATCAGCGCGGCTGGGGGCGGGGGGCCCGCCAGTCCCGTCCAGGAGCACGGGGGCCAGCCGAGGCGCCTTCAGCCGCTGGCCCTCAAGGGCCCGGGGCCCTCCACGCGGGCGAGGGCGAGGGGCGGTGGTGGGGGGGCTGGCGTCAGCTGCGCGCGCGCCGCAGCCTGCTCACCATGCGACCCCGGCACCCTGGCCTGCCTGCGCCCCCCCCCCCCCCCACCCCGACACCCTCACCCCTCAAACGCTCGTCCGTCTGAAGCCGCGCCCTCTTAAAGATAAAGACCAGGGACCGCTCGGGGGCCCGAAGCTCAGAGGGCGGCGGCCCCCTCTAGATTCCTCCGAGACACCTCGGGAGTAGGGGCCTCGATGAAAGCCCTCGACGCGCGCGCCTCCAAAAGGCCCGGCCCCACAGAAGGCCCCGAAGGCCCCTCCCCGCGCCGGGCCCTCGGGGCCCGCAACGCTGGGCAAAGCTCCAATCGAGGCCCCAGAGGGCGTCGCCTCGGCAACGCGGGCGCTCGCGAGCCTGAGGGCCCTCGCACCTCGGGCGGTCAAGGTGAATGCCTTACAGCGCTCACGGGCGAACCTGTTTACCCGTCCTCCTCGCACGATGCGGATGCCCCACGGGAGCCCGCGGCGGCCGCGGCGGCGGCGCCGCTGGGTCTCCTGCGGCTGACCTCAGCGGGGTTGCCCCAGCGCCGCGAGCGCCCCAGGCGCGCCGCAGCTCGGCGTTGCGCCTCCGTGGGGGCATGACGCGATCCGCGGGCGCGTCGCTCTGGAACTGCAGCTTCGGCGCATTGCCGACCCAGGCCGCCGCCTGCCTCCTCTTGAGCAGCGCGAGGGAGCGGCGCTCAATGGCTGGCTTCGGCACGTCGTGAAGTCTGCGTCCTCTCTTGGCAGCCTGGCCCACCAAATCATTGCAGCGCTTCTCCCGGCAGCCATCCCTCCGGCGCCCCTTGACGCACTTGAAGACGATGGGGGCTTCATCTCACGAACAGCTGGCACCTCCATGGTCATCGATACGGTGGAACAGCTGCTTCTGTAGGTCCGCGTTCTCGCGTCGAACTCCAGTGCACCAGCGACGGCCCTTGCGCAAACCGTCGACCAGCGGCTGGTAGTCGGCGTGATTTCGACGTGGAGCAACCCCAACAGTCAACGCCTGAAGAACCGCGCGCAGAGACATCTCGCGGCCTGTCAGCGGTCCAAAAGCAGCTCCGAAGCGCCGGGAATCTCCAACCACCGCGCATCCCCAGCCAGATCTAGAAGTGGAGAAGCTTCGCATCATATCCATCAGTGAATACATCACCTGTGATTACACTATGATCACCAAACGGCCTCCCTCGAGCGGTCCTGTCGCAGCGCCGCCGCCCAGAGTCCAGAGTCATCCCGCGGCGGCAATGCTGGCAACCCAGAGTTCGGGAATAAGGCCCTCGAGTAGAAATGGTGTCCAGGTATGGTGGCGCTGGCCAGATCCAAGACTTCAGAATCCACCGCGCGCCCCCGAAATTCAGTCAGCGACGGGCAGTGCCAATGCCGATTGTGCAAGGCCCAAGTAACATCATCACACAGGAGACAAGAAAAGAGGTGGCATAAGCATACTGAAATAGCCGCTGCTGCGAGACATGGCCCCCTATAACTGCCGAGCGAGCAGCCGCCCGCCCTCTGTCCAGCACGCAGCATGCCCTCAATAGGCAAAACAACAACCTGCGGGATCTTTGTGGCTGGGCCCTGGTATCTCAGGCATAACAGCTCGACGTGCAGACCGAAAAAGCAGTCGCAATGCCTCGAAGTTCTGCAGGGCAAGCCAGCGCGCAACCGGAAGCGCAGCGGCACGAATATCCAGGAGCTCGCCAGACCTGGCACGGACCGCAAATGCCGACGAGCAGGTCCACTTCAGTTCAAGCAGCGTCCGTGCAAAAGCCTCTGCTGGCCCATTGACTAGCCTCCAGTTGCCCGCCTGATGTGCTGCAGCACTGACTCGGTACTGCGCGCGCCACGCCTTCTGCATATCCAGATGAGTGGCTTCGCCAGCGTGCGCCATCACAGCCCAGTTGCGAATCGGAGACACAAGCTGGCTGAGAGTCAGGCGACCGAGCCAAACGCGAAGCGATGCAGTGCGAGGACCCAGCGGGTATGATAACCCACTCCCTTTGACTTGTCTGGTCATGCGCTGGACAACGTGTGGCGCAGCTCCCAGGATGCACAATCCGTGATGGCAGGACCAATGGCAACCCTCGCCACTTTCCGATATTTGATACCCAAATCCAGAAATCGCTGGAAGTGTCGGGCACGCTTAGACACGGCCTTCACACCCTGCGGCGTAATATTCAACAGTGCGCCCACCTCAAACCCCAGGACCTCGAGCCTCGACCTCGAACCCCCGAAGTCTCCGAGATATGCGGGGGGCGGTGCGGTCGTCAGACACCGCCAGCATAGCCTTGGAATTGGCCACTGGATGTCCCAAGTCCTGTGAGGAATCACAGCGTAGACCAGTGGTGTCAGCCGCCTACCCTTCCAGGACATGCATCGGGGCAATCGTATGCGAGGTGAGGTCGTCAGCGAACACATCCAACGTGTGCGACGTACTGACGCACGCGCTGGCAATGGCGCTTGCCTGGAGTAGGTACTCGCCAAGCGCAGAAACCATAAGAAGCTGGACAAACGCCATCGCACACTTGCATCCAGGTAGAACTCCTTGCTCAACGACCACCGAGCGCGACGTAGCCTGCAAACGCACCAATCTACGCGGCGCCCCGTACATAGCAAGGGCACAAGGCAGCAACTGACCCGGGATACCATGCTCACGAGCAGCAACGACCAGGATGGGCCAGGACATGCGGTCGAAGCACGTCTCGATATCCACGATGGCGGTGGCCACTCCAAGCCCGTCGGCTAGACCTTCTTGAGCATGCAGTTAGG